ATAAGATATTACAAGATGGAATCATTGAAGAGGCGAGATCCGAATGGTCTTCACCACTTCTGATCGTTCCCAAAAAAGCTGACCAAAGCGGAGCAAAAAAATGGAGAATAGTAATCGACTATCGGTTACTAAATGCACGGATACAAGACGAAAAATTTCCGTTACCGTGTATATCTGAAATATTAGATTCACTTTCCGGGGCGGTATATTTTTCACATCTCGATCTTTCGCAGGGCTACTATCAGGTTGAATCATAGCCCTCTAGTCGACCCTATACGGCATTTACAACAGAGCGTGGTCAGTATCAACTAAAAAGACTACCAATGGGGATGAAAATTAGTGCTAGAGTATTTTCACGAGTCATGACAATAGCAATGTCCGGTTTGAACTACGAATCATGTTTCATTTATTTAGACGACTTAATAATTTTCGGAAATAATTTAGTGAATCACAATAAAAATCTCATTAATGTTTTACAACGACTTAGAGAAGTCAATCTTAAATTGAATCCGAGTAAGTGCGATTTCCTTGAAAAGGAAATATTGTATCTGGGACATGTGATTTCACCGGCCGGAATATCACCATTAAACAATATCCAGCACCCAAGGATTCTAATGAGACGAAGAGATTCGTCGCATTTGCTAATTATTATAGAAAATTCGTTAAAAATTTCGCTGACATCGTAGATCCACTAAATAAATTAACCAGAAAAAATGCTACATTTCATTGGAATGAAACATGTCAAAACTCGTTCGAAAAGCTAAAGCAAGCACTCATGAACCACCCCGTGTTGCAATATCCGGATTTTTCAGAAGCCAATCGTTTTATTCTCAGAACAGATGCATCCGGGTATGCAATAGGTGCAGTTCTGTCTAATTCTGATGACAGATCAGTTGCTTATGCAAATCGCGCGTTGAACAAAGCCGAATCTAATTATTGCGTAATTGAAAAAGAACTACTGGCAATAGTTTTCGGGGTAAAACACTTCAGACCGTATTTATTCGGACGTAAATTTCACATCTTGACTGACCATAGACCGTTAATTTACCTTTTTGGAATGACAAATCCTTCCAGCCGACTAACAAAATTTAGACTAACACTAGAAGAATACGACTCTACTATAGAATACGTCAGAGGGGCGGACAACGTTACGGCTGACGCATTGTCACGCATAGTAGTGCAGTAACAACTAGTAACATACGCGTGATGACGCGAGCGCAAGCTAGAGACAAACTGACCTCACAAAAAGCCGACATAAATGATGACTCTAATAATTTCATTGAGGATAGGATTGATCACCCTGGATTCGTGGAATTGTTAAAAAGACCTAGCGAGTCTGTGGAATTGCAAGCAATTTCTGAGGCTGACTTTGCCAAAACGACAGCAAGCAAAAATAAGTTTTTGCATAAAACAGAATATACGAAGTACGATAAGTGTAATCGGAAAATATTTATAAAATATCAGGAATCTCGATCAACGTCAGCTCTAGACGCGTCGTTGAGAGATCTGGTAAACATGTGCACAAAATATAAAATTCCAGAATTATGCATAATAAAAAATAATGATTATAGCGCAGAATTATTAAAAGAGATATCTCGAATGAAAGAAAAATTGACAAATGCCGGTATAAATATTTATTTATTTTTATTTACGGACAGATCCATTACAAGAATTGTACAATATAAACAATTTAAAAATACACATTAAAAACCATTCATTCATGTGATACATTATATAGGTACACATCTAAACATATAGGTGATTAAAAATGAAGAGCATCACAGAGCAAGGCGCCTTCCCACTTCAGAACTGAAGGCAGAGAAGGTTATGCCAAAATAGTGCAAATTCATACTATTGGCACTCCGCGCCATTCTTGTTAAAGGGCAGTGGAATCCATAATTACGACAATGAAATTTAATGTGAAAAGTATCATTTGACCTGGTACCAGAGGAGTTAGTTTTTAATCCAACGTGAGAAAGAAGATCTGGAGAAAGAACTTCACCAGACAATAACTTGAATAAAAAGCATAAATCACTTTTAATCCTCCTACTTTCGAGGGTGGATATTCCTAATATGGAACACAAAAGATGATAATCATAATAATAGTTTTCCACATGAATCCCTAGTCTGTATGCCGAACATCTTAAGAATTTATGTTGCACAGTCTCCAGCATGTTAATATATATCTGATAGTGAGGGTTCCACAGAACAGATGCATACTCCATATGGGAGCGAACATGAGCACAATAAAGCAACTTAAATGAGTTAATCGAGAGGTCTCTGGAGGTCCTTTTGATATAACCCAACATTTTACGCGCTTTCATGGAGATCATAATTATGTGTTGGGAGAAGCATAATTTATCATCAAGTAAAACACCCAAGTCTTTAATTTGAGTTACTCTTTCAAGTACACGAGAGTTGATAGAATATGAATAATCTATAGATTTGCGGTTTCTGTTAAAATTTATGAAGGAACACTTATTGAGATTCAGATCCATTCCATTGGCTTTGCACCAATCAGCAAGGTTGTTGATATCACTTTGTAATTCATAACAATTGTTTACATTTTCAATAACTTTGAATAGCTTCAAATCGTCAGCAAATAGTAGAAATTGAGAATTTACAATGTTGATCGCAACATCATTCACGAAGAGGTTGAATAATAGTGGGCCACAGTGACTACCTTGTGGAACACCAGAATGAACTGCGATGCTATCAGAGACATAATTTCCAATTTTAACCCACTGATACCTGCCTGTTAGGAAGCTGTGAAGCCAGTCAGACAATTTGCCAGTGATGCCATATGCATTCAGTTTTGCAATCAGCAGTTCATGATTTACTCTATCAAATGCTTTTGAGAAGTCAGTGTAGATAGAGTGTACTTGATATCCCTTCTCAAAAGCATTTAAAATTGTTTGTTGAAAAGATAATAAACTAGTTACAGTGGATCTACCCTTATTGAATCCATGCTGCTGATCAACAATTAAACCTTTACACTCCCAAGATAGAAAGTCTGTAATTATTGAGTCCAACATTTTAGGTAAGCAAGACTGTAGACATATACCTCTATAGTTAGTGATATCTTCAACACAGCCTTTCTTAAATATAGGTCGTACGAAGCTATATTTCCAAAAGTCTGGAAATATACCTTGGTCCAGAGACATATTGAAAATCATACATATAGGACTGGTCAAAGAGTAAATGCATCTCTTTATAAAGTAAGGTGAAATTCCATCAGGACCACAACACACCCCATCCTTCATACCTGAAATCCTATCGAACACCTCACTCAGTGATACTCTATACTTATTAACATTGACGGTATTATGATAACATATATTGGGAACAATTACATCAGATTTAACATATACAGAAGAAAAATTCTCAGAAAATAAATTAGCAGTTTCGCTGCCATTCTTACTTATTTTGTTATGCAAATACATTTCACTTGGAAAACTATTTCTCGATTTTTCATTTGCAAATCTCCTTGTATTGTTAAAGGACTACAGAAAATCGAAGACAATGAAACTAGACAATTAATCTTAAATGACTATCACATACTACCAACAAGCGGGCATGCTGGGGTTAATCGCATGTTCAATAATATTAGGAAATATTATTTCTGGCCAGGTCTCAAACATGATGTAGAAATTTTTGTCAAGAAATGTAAGGATTGTCAACGGTACAAACATTCAAGGCCTAATAAGGAACCGATAGCAATCACTACTACAGCTACCACAGCATTTCAAAAAAATTTTTTAGGTTTAGTCGGACCTTTGAATCGAACAGACGATAATAATCAGTACATATTAACGATACAATGTGAACTGACTAAATTTGTCGAAGGGTATCCACTGCCAAATAAAGAAGCTGCTACAGTGGCAAAATCTTTTGTAGATATCTTCATCTTGCGGTATGGAACCCCAAAAGACATCGTAACGGACAGGGGAACGGAGTTTTTATCGGCAGTTTTCCGGGAATGTTGCAAACTTCTATCGGTAAACCACCTCAATTCCAGTGCGTATCATCATGAGACGTTAGGTGCTCTTGAAAATTCGCACAAGCATTTAGGCGCTTACCTAAGAATTCAGCTGTCAAAATATCCAGATTCGTGGAGCCATTGGGTTCCATATTGGTGTTTTGCTTTTAATAATACAGTGCATTCTAAAACTAAGTATACCCCATACGAACTTGTTTTTGGGAAAAATAGCCGACTACCATCCAATATTTCCGAGAAAATTGACCCCCTTTATAATTTCGAAAATTATCCCAATGAACTAAAATATCGTCTACAGGTAGCTTGTAAAGATGCAAGAGATAATTTGTTGAAATCTAAGCACAAGAGAAAAGAACTATTTGATAAAAATTGTACAAAACCTAAATTTTATGAGATAGGAAGCAAAGTTCTCGTGAAGAATGACACAGGACCGAAATTAGAGGTAGTTTACAAAGGTCCTTATATAGTATTGGGAGAAAAAGGTCTTAACATAATTCTAGATATCAATAACAAAAGGACAGAAGTTCATAAACATAGAATCAAGCCGTACCATGAATGAATTAATTAGGAAATACGAAAAAAAAATAGTTATATTTTTTTATCTTTTCTTTCCCAGGGGAGGTGTAGTGGGTAGATAAAGTGGAACATAAACAAATTCAATTAAAACATCGAAAATATCTCGTACACCTTCTCAAGGTAATTATTGTTATAGTTTTAGGAAATGTTATAATAATAAGCACGTCAAATATTCAGGGGCATGGTTTAGTAAAACATTTTAGGATAATCTAAATACAACTCTCTTGATAGATGGATGTATTTTTTAGAATAGAATAAATCTATATCCAAGTGTTCTCATGAGTTTTTCTTGATGAATCGATAACTTGATAGATACATATACCAAGTTATCACACCAATATAAAAAACAATGAGACCCTTACCAATGATTTCTTGTTACCTGGGATATTCAACCAAAGAAAGCGATGGTATGTGAGGGAAAACTAACCTGAAAAGAGCACATCAGCGTTTCATCGACGCTCATCATTCCGCCGGCGTTGTCGAACTCTCCGCAATAGTTTGGCGCCGAGAAAAGAGTAACCAGCTGTCGTTTGGCGAAGAACTCATAGCCATCTTCAACCACCTGGTGGGCGCGGCAGATGAGATCGAGATCGTGACGGTTGAGGAACTTGCTAACCACATCGGCGCCGAACGTGAACGAGACGCCACGATCATTTTCGCCCCAGCCTTGGACGTCCTTGTCGGGGTCCGACCAGAGTAAGTCACATAGTAATCCTGGAAGTCAATCAGACAGGCTAATTGTGGCTGGTATTGACCAAAATATGGCGTTATGACCAAATATGCCCTAATTTATACATCTATTTATTTATTTATTTTATTTAATAATTATACATCCAACAGGCTTATTGCCTTATAACAGGAGTATTTTACAATGAGCTGAACGTTAATGATCATCTATATAAACAAACATATTTCGAGATGACACTAGGAATTTCTTTCTCGAATGCTCGTAGTTACAAAAATGACATTGACACTACTGACAAATCGCAATTTATTGTAAACTCCGAGGTGAACTCTACACGTATTCGAATGAGGACAGTAATAATGGTGTCGCGAATCAGATACTACCAAGTGAAAGGTAGTATTTGTTCTAGGCATAATTCTTGGGACATTGAAGTCTACTGCTGACAAAACATGTAGGAAAATCTACGCCATTGTTGATGAGTTTGTATTAAAAAACAAGAATTGCGATCTCTCTTTTTTTCAGCTAGTACATTTCGAATTCTTCTAACAATAAATTATAATCATAGCCTCTCTCAGGTTATATACCATGTTTTTTGATAAAAGCATAGTTTGAAAATTTTTCTGGACAGTCTTCAATGCATCTACATATTTCATATAGGTGGGGTTCCATATGACGCTATAATATTCCAGTTTGATTTTAAACATTGAATAGTGAATATTAGGAAAGGCATTGAAAGAACGAAATTCCTTATAGTTTCTAATGAGAGAAACTGAATTACGATTGGCCTGGCCAATAACGATATTAATGTGGTTCATAATACCTGTATCAGGAACATCCGTCGGTCTCATGATTCGTCTGATCTGTTCCATTCCCTGGAGGTCTGGACTGAGCCCCCCATGACAACAAAAAATTTTCTCATCGATTATGGCAGCAATTGGCAAGCAGTTGAAGCAATCAGTGAATGTCTTCCAGAGTTTTATATTGAATCTTCTTTTACCTGAAATTATTATTGTTGTAATGACTAGACCTGTTTCATTATTTTTTCATATTTTTTGGGATTTTCTCTCCTCGTTTCCCTAGATAGAAATATGAGAGAATAATCTTTATTGTCTAAAATGTATTACATTTCGTCGACAAAGGTATAACATATACCTATATAAAAAACAAACTATTGTAAAAGAAACAAGACTAAAAAAATATTTTCTGATTCTTATATTTGAATATGTGACATAGGGAAAATTCAGATGATATCACTATTAGAGAGCCTGAAAGAAAAAATTGATTGATTATCAGTTACACCTTGTTATAAAAAATGTTCATAGAAAAGAAATATAGATATATCAAATTCTCACTCAGCTTTGGAAGTTTTTGAAACGAATATGCTTCCGTTTTCAACATGCAAAAAGAAAACATTATTCTTGACAAATACGCCGTGCCGCGTAACGAAATTACTCGAATTTTGATTTTAGGACACTCAGTATACGAATAATTATAAATATAAGCAAGCTAGCGACTCCGTTCTTTTTTGTTGTTAAATCTCATGATACATCGGACGTTTTCTCACTATTATTCTTTCTCACTATTATTCAACGACCGTGAATTCATTTTGATAGGGATGTTTCGTGAAAATTACATGATATTGAATATTATATTAATAATAATCACGCGATCAAGCCATTGCGAGGTCAACACGATGTATCGCTGCGCTTCCAACTCGTTGGTGGAAGTGGAGAACGGAGCTGTAGCTGGCTCGAAGAGACTGTAGCCAACTTATGAAATTTTGAAAAATATGGAAATTCAATTTAAGAAAAATTATTCATGAGGGCTTACAAGGCACAGCAGCTTTTCCTCTGGCGAGCAATGGTAGTGAATTCTGACTATTGAATGACAAAGGGCGCCACTTGATTTGATATAGGCAAAACCAAGAAAGTTATAGTAAAATTCAGTCTAGCTTCCTGAAAGAGAAATAGAAGAAAAAACACTGTGTGAACTCAGATATTATTTAATGAGGATAAAATTCAGTTTTTTATTACCTACAAGGTAGATTGCTGTCTAAGTAATATGATAGAATTCAAAATATTCTCAGTAAAAGTTACTATGTATGACCAGTATATTCAAAAACCCTAAAATCCCTTTTATAGTACTATAAACCGGATGCACATATTATTATTATGCTTAAATCATGAAATGGACCTTTAGCAACCTATTAATTATCATAAAATAATCATGGTTAAGAATACTAGACATTGAGACATCCTCAAGAAAATAATAATGGTAAATTCCAAATTTTGGGTGGCTTTCTTACTCAAACCACAGCTAGTAGGGCAACTAGCAGGGTGGCATCCTGATGGTGTTCCTAGCCTGTTTGGCCAGACTCTTCAATGGCCAGTCCCCAGAAGAAAGATGGCCCCCTTCTGATGGAGTCTAGCAGGTGAGATCCAGGTCCCAGCCAGCCAGAACCAGCTTCCAAGGGATGACACTGCGAAGCCTGGTGACACAGTGAAGACTGATGACTCAGCACAGACAGATAGGCCTGTGGAGACTGAAGGGATAAGGCAGCCTGACAATCCAGTGGAGCCTGATGAACCTGAGCAGTCCGAAGAGGCAGGGAAGCCTGATGAACCAGCGCCGGTGGAAGAGCCTGCAGAGCCTGGGATGCCTGCAGAGACGAAAGGGCCTGGAAGGCCTGCAGAGATGAAAGAGCCTGGGATGCCTGCAGCAACGAGAGATCCTGCGACGTCTGATGAGGCTTCATATAGCCTCCTGCTCCAGAGATGGAATCTCTCCGTTGAGAGAATAAAATGGCCACGTGGTCGACACGGGGTACCAAAGAGGCCCACACATCTAACGGAATAGATCCAAATAAATAGCCAGCCTCATATCATAGGAGGATTTGACCGCTAGATTTTCAATGTTCAAAAACTTACCCCAAGAAGGAAATGCCTCACTTTTGGAAAGGTTCACCACAAAATAATGGGCGATGCCCATCTTGCCGAGGATGAATGTCGAAGTGGCGTCTCGACACTTTGGGAGGGATAGCCTCCTGCGCCTTTTCAGAACTTTACATCCCAAAAACTAACAATAAAAAACAGAATACAACTCATATGCAAACTCTGCGCACTAGAGGAAATACAGGATGGCTTTAAGCGCCCTACATGTGACTGAAATACTGACTTGTGATTCGCCCAGCATGAAATGACAGCTCCGAAACAACCGAGCATCCCCGACTTCTTCCGACTAGGATTCCACAGGGCCAGAATGAACATATGCGACACGACCTTGACAAATACACGGAACATTGCTCTTCGCCTTCCAGATGGATGACTAGCGCCAGTACCCTGAAAGTCATAAAACTATCCTGGCTGCTGTAATTCACTTTACCGTCCAACTGTTCGCTGCAGGTTCGTGTAGGTCAGGTGCATGTTAGGTGTAGGTCAGGTGCAGATACCCTTGCCCTCATCACTTGACAATTGGCAATCAACTTGATGAAAACGTCTAATGAAATTCCTATATTTCAATGACAGCTCAACAATAGTAAACAAAACAATAATCATTGAAATTACTGATATAAGTATGAGGACCATCAAATATGGTAGGAAAAGAAAATATACCAGCCAAATAGTGCCCAGAGGCCAAACACCCATCAAAGTCAAGGTCTTGGAAGAAATCCCTGAAGCACAAAAATCACACCCAGACTGAAAGAACATGCTGAACCAGGTGAGTACTTTCTAATTGTTATTTGATCAAATTGTTATATTTACTTGTATTTTCAGGTCGTAGAAGTCTGATCAACTAAGGGAACATCAATATTATCTAGCGTCATGTAAATATTGAATATAAATAAAGAATTTTAGATACAGTGTCTCAATGCTTTTATATGTGAATTATAAAGATGGAACTGAAAATTCGAGGAAAGGCAATTTTCACGTTACAAGACAAGAGAGCCGACACTTACCGCCGACTACGAGAAACAGTTCGAGAACACTGATTACAGTTCATTGTAACAGTATATCACCTGACGAAGCTACTGTGTTAGCGAAACATGTCGTGTGTTTAATAAATTTTGTGGAAAGCTTATCGTTTGTGAAGTTTTTACATTTACAGTGACAGAATCATGGAACCACAGAACATCATTAATATATGGTGTTCTACACTTCACCACAAAAACACTGATTAGTATTCCTACTATTTGTAGTCTATATTCAACACCCCCACTCACAAAAACTGAAAAAATGTTAATGACCTCATAACTCATTACATTCATTACATCTCATATATACCTAATGATTTCATACAAGTATAATGTTTTTCAGTTGTCTGACCTTTTGTCATCACATCAGCAGGCATATCTTTTGTTGGCATATAACTTGAAATAATCTGTTTATTTGCAACAACTTCCCTAATATAATGATGCCTTATATCAATGTGTTTTGATCTCTCGTGACAAGTATGATTGGCTGACAAACTTAAAGCATCCTGATTATCATTGAGAAGTTAATGCCTATGCATAGAACAGCTGTATATGAGAGATGCTTCTCCTATAATGCAGTTAAAATATACAATTCTCTCCCACAAGAGCTCAAGAATAAATCAATGTTTCACTTCAAAAAGTCAATAAAATTATTTTTCTCTACGACTATCGTATTCTACATTGATTACATATAGGTTAGTAATTCATGAATGAAGATGATTCCAAGACACCGTGGATCCCAACTCATTATTCAACGGCACTCGACCAATCACAGATTCAGAATTTTCAGGATCCACAGCAACTGAAAAGGTTAGACTAATGAAAAACCAGCAAATCTACCAAACAAATTTCTCAAGAAGGCTCTGCTTCATGTCAGATTGACTTATAGAGTCTTTTAAGTTTTAACTCTGATATCTGGAGGATATCATGAAGGCTTGCCGTTCCATAGAAATGTACTCTATGAATATTGAAGATATTCAAGATCTTGGATCTCCATGGATAATAACTATTCCTGAGACCAAAACAAAAATTGTGAGGAGGTTCAGGTAACCGGGAAATTTTATCAATTTTGTAAAAAGTACATTGATATACGAGCAGCAAATGTTGAGATTTCCAATTTTTTCATGAATTACCAAGAAGGAGAATGTACTCTTTAGAAAATTGGAATTAATAAGTTTGCAGCAATGGGAAAACAAATAGTTACATTTTTGAAGCTACCAAATCCCGAGATGTACACCGGGCATTGCTTTGCTTGTCAACGCAGGTGGAGGTATAACAGCATTGAATAGACATGGTGGCTGGAAGAGCACATTGGTGGCAGAAGGATTTCTAGAAGATTCCATGTTGAATAAAAAAAAAAACGGCAGATTCGCATTCTTCAATGAATCGAACAATGTTCATCATCATCAAATAACAGTTCCTCCACACAAAAAACATCAACTAGCAATATGAATGAAAATGTCAGTGTTGATTTAAATGCAACACTAACAGTAAAATTTCACGAATTGTGAGAATATCACTAAAAATTTAGTCACTAAGTACGAGAAACATAATTTACTGACCTAATAATTATTGTGCTGTTTCATCATTGAGTTCGTTGAATATTTAAGATTACTACAAATTGTATTATAATATTATTAAAATTCATACTTCAAGTATATTATTTTCATAAATAATAATTAGATTACATTAAATTTCTGACTATCGTATAGTCGTAGAGAAAGTATAGTCTTCTACTCGCGTATAATAGCTATTATTCTCTCAGATAATTCCGAAACTCGCCTACGGCTCGTTTCGGAATCATATCCTCGGGAATAATAGCTATCATTATACGCTCGTTGAAGAATATACTATTATCTCGCTAATAAACCGTATTTCAGAATAGATAATAATGTTAAACTTATATTTTGTAGATAAGTTAGTTTTATATTTAAGCTACTATGTAGGTATAGTTATTTAGTTCAAATGTAATATGGTACTCGGTTGCGTTGAACAGCTTTGCTGGACTTAGCCGAGGGTATTAAAAA